AGGGCTTTTAGGGCGAAGATGTTGGCCCTTGAAGATAAGAACAAAATATATCAAATATTTCCATATATCACTTAAAAGAGTAAGAGATATTCCAAACAACTACTAGGTCGTGACTCTAAATTTACACCAATACCAAGCTTATTAAATTGCAGAGACAGATGATAGAAAGCAAATTCTTTTACAAATCACTAAAAAAGTAAGAGATATTAAGACTGCTTGAGAAGTTATTCAATCTAGAGTTAGGGTGGCGAATTGCCATAACAAGAACAGATCTGAGAAGTTAAAAGATTGGCCTTAGGAGGATCTCCCTCATTTTTAATGCAACTCTCGCGAATTACTACTAGTTTACAGTTAAACTCAAAAGCTCAATTTAGTTAATTCAATCTACACTTGATGTTATATGTGACTCGACACCTAACATTTCTCTGCCAAAAATATTTTCAAGATAATCAACAAGTTCATCTATTGATGGCCAAAAGAAACCCACCAGTCATTTTACCAAATAAAAAAATCAAGCTTCTTCAAAACAGCATCAAACAAATATAGAATTAATATAAAACTGAAAAAAACTTTCCAGTTGATAGAAATTTTTTTATAATGCTCTTTCAAAGTAACAACACGCTATAATTTCTTTTGTCGAACATACGATACGACGTGCTGAAGCAGCTTTACATGTCAAGACTGCTCAATTCATGCCGGGATCCCGACTAAACTTTGTTGCCGTTAACCCAAAGCTTGTTGCGGGCAGCACCATCGTAGAGGGTGGCGTTTTCTGTGATTTCGATGAAACAATGAGTAGCACCGTCGCTTGTCAGCTGGGTCTGACTTTCCCAGAGCACAATCCCACCATACTCTGATAAAATGACAATGTTACAATTTATTCGTATTTTCAGATGACAGCGCTCTTTTGGTCCATCAAAATTTATATATGTCTGCCAGATGGGATCCGGACTATTGACCTCTCTAAAAGCCGCGTTGCAGTCGTTTCGCATTTCGAATATGTACTGATTTTGGTAGTTTAAGGAAAACCCCGGAGGCATATACTGTCGAATAACCAGATGGTTCGCCGGAGTTGTGGATGGAAGGCTCGTCAATATTAAGCCCGCAGTCATGAGGAGGAGGAGGAGGACGTTGGAGGAGGAGGCCATGTTAGCTGGGCTTGGAGACCTGCTACTACTTTCGTGTGGGCCTTATTTATACTAAAAATTTTCCGAATGAGGCCAAAGAAGAAACAATTAAAGACAGTTGAGGCCAAAGAAGAAACAATTAAAGACAGTTGAGGCCAAAGAAGAAACAATTAAAGACAGTTGAGGCCAAAGAAGAAACAATTAAAGACAGTTGTATATATGTTTGTTAAATAATTAGGCTGACAATTGTTACTTATGTGATTCCACTTGTTATAAATAGGTTTCATTTGGCGAAATATTATTTCGATTTAGTTAAATTAATATACATCAAATTTTAAGTATTTGATAACTAATATTATCGCCGGCATGCAAATTAATATTCTGGATTGTTTGGTTGAATTTTTTGCCTTTTTTAATTGCAAGTTAATAAACTGATAAAAATGAGTTTTTTTTTCTTCTTTTTTTAGTTATCAACCATAAAAATGAGCCAATAACTTGGCAATTTAGAGATTGATTTAATTAGTTTGTTTAGTTATTATTATTTATTATTATTTTCAGAAAATAAGTTCATGAAATTAATAATAATTTAAGAAAATAAATAAATGATTTGCTTTTAAAAATATAGAGTATAAATTTTATAGAACAAGATTCTGAGTTCCAAACTCACCACAGTTGAATTTGAACCGTTTAATATGAAGGCAACACTTGGCCACACCATCTTGACTTATTTTATTGAATAACTTTTCCCAAATAATTAGAAAGACAGAATCTTTTCAAAGAAAAATTAAGCAATTATCCAATTATAGTTTTCATTTGACCCCCAAAAAAAAAAAAAGATTCTTATTTTGACAACCTAAAAAAATGGACTTGCATGGGCCATTTATTTTAGGAAAGAAGCTAACTTTATTATTTATTGTATAAAAGTAAATTGTCTGCAAGTATCTCGAGGATGGCAAATGGTCTAGATTAGAAAGAAAAAAACGAAGATCAACAATATTATGAGAAGCTACAAGAACTAATGAAACTGATCAACTGAATATCGAGAGTCGACTGAAGAACGATCAATGGACTGAAAATATATGTTATTACCAAAGAGCCGCTCTGGCCAGCAAGGGACAAACACCTACACCGATCATCCCAAGGCTGACCGACCGGCTGTCACTCTTAGAGGCGCAACACAGCTTCCCAAAACGAGGTCAATTGGTACCGAGGCAAAACAACCGACCCAACCGAATTAAGTCGACCAACCCAAAGACCTGCCTGTTGGAGGCTAAGACATGCGTAAAGATGTCAATGTGAGTTATGAATGTAAAAATATTTCAATATCAATTATAAATACAGAAAAATGTCAGTTTCAATTATAGACACCTAAATCTTAGGTACTGATTGTTATAGCCTTGATATGCATTGACATTTTTTTTTTTTTTTTGAGTATGAGTTTGCTGGATTGACTATTTTTTCTCATGAATGAAATCCTCATATTGATGATTAACTGAAATAAAATACAAAACCTGATTTTTTTAAGTAAATACTTGAAAATAAGGATTCCTTTTATGATAATATAAAAAATGATACCTCTACGAAGATTATAATTATGTGCTAATAATTGACTTGGCTGATATGAAGCCCTCTTTCTTAATGTTGATATTCGGTAATTTGAGGATGCAAATACTCCAAAAGTATACGCCAATTGTAGGATGCTAAAAACTTAACTACATTTTTTTTTTATTTCATTTCTTAATGTAGTCTGATAAGTACTGTTTATAGAATATAAGTGATAAAATATTACAATAAGATAACCAATCTATTGAATAATTACTCTAATTAATCTTACAAGATATTAAGTAATATAGTGTCCTATCATTACTCACTCCTTTAAAATGACCTTGTGCATAAGATCGAGCAATTGAAAAGAAACTTGGGCGAACGTTAACAAGGAAAATTCTTTGTTGTGTAAAAGGTGTAGGCAAATATCAGGTTGAGTCACTGTGGATTAGGAAATTGTCGTCTTTATTAAATCCATCATTCAGAGGATGGTCAGATATTGAAACAACAAACAATACATTTCATTTTGATAGAAGAAATGTGCGTTTGGTTGGCGGTGCAATGCCGCATCGCAGTTTCTCCAATTTGGCAAAACAGAATTTTGTCTGCATTTTCAAATAACTGCAGCTGAAAGTTGCATTTTGTTTCCAAACCTGGCTACCTAGTGGTTGTCAAAAAACTAAGGTCTGACTTTTAAAATTTTTTTCTTTTTGATAATAGCCACTACAACTTTTTTAACTGCAACTTCTTCTTCAACAACTTCACAACTGCTTTATCAAAAAACTACAGCTGCCACAAACATACCAAAACTCTTTGGCCAGCCGAACTATAACATCACAAAAAAATAACAAAATCAAGAAAACTAAGCAACACCATTTCTGATTGTAAGGATCCATCTAAGATGGTGTTATGCAACATAAATTTAATAGGATTTACATTCGATTTTAACGTCAATCCATCCAAATGCAAAAAAAAAAAGAGAAGTGAAATAAATTCGGCAATTGACTAAATCCAAAATCCCATTCTCTTCCTTCGTTAATTTTTTGACTCAAATTCGAATACACTAAATATGATTTTTAGGTAGATTTAACATATTTAGTACAAAAAAAAAATCTTGATAAATCGTCAAACATTAAATATAAATTTAAATGAATTTAAATTAAATCATACTAAACAACTTCTTGAAATTAAAAGCAACGAATTTCATGAATTCGAATTAATCGGATTTAGGGGTTGTCTAGTTGTAACCCGTATTTAAATAAGATTTAGTAAATCCATTAAATCCAAATTTATCTAATCCAAATGCTTTTAAATGCAGAATATTTTCTGCTTTAGTTATGTTTCGCTAGAAACTCTGGATTAACACACAATATTTTCTACTAAATCTAACTTTAGATTCGACTTTCTCTCAATGTAAAGTCGAATTTACTCAATCCAGTTTTTAGCTTAGGAAGAAAAACATGATGAACGAAGACAGCATTGAAAGCCGTTAGCATACATGCAACAAGATCAACGATGCCTCACTACAATCTTCAGAAAAGTGTTAATGAAAATGAATGTTTATCGAAGATGAAATCAGAAAAATTTTGGACGACGATGAGACGGTGTGGTGCGAATCTTGGATAGAACGAAATATGGTGTCTACAGTGGTTAGTGTCGCCAGAAGAGAGAAATTTTGATCAGAGCAACAAACTCAATCAAAACCACAAGTAGATCGGTGGTCTGGAAGGATTTTGGTAAAGCTTGAAACAGTGGGAGAAGCAAGAACATTGGGAAGACCGGGGAGCTCGAGATGGTGAAAGCTGCTGCAAGAAGTGCTGTAAGAAGTGAGGAGGAAATCCAGAGTTTATAGACGTTATAACTCTCCCTCACAATAACTCTCCCTCACAGCCTATGTGACTTACTATAGTTAGGCGACCCAAAACTCCCGCAACTCTCAATTCCAATATACAAATATGTGACCAACTATGGCTACGCGACCCACAACTCATGTAGCTCTTAACTCCAATGTACATAACCTCAGAACATTATCCCGACTCTTGCAATCCCGACTCCAATAACTAACACATGTTATTGCATTTCCTCACTACGGTATGTGTAACAAACTATAGCCTGTACAGTTTACAGCTCTGTCAACTGAGATCTCTATTGCCTACAAACATTGTCACAATTCATGCAGTGCATAACTTCGGCCTACAAAAATTTTCACTGCTCATGGAATTTCTTAATACGGTCTTTGTGACTAACCGACACTTATGTAACAAGCATCCACGACCCGCATGACCAACAACAACCCTAAATTTCAACTACGACATCCACGACAAGCTAACATTATAACCATCATATACAAAATTCACGACACACTACTAACTTCACAACAAACTACTATGATATTCGCCGCTCGTAATGATTTTTATTGTTGAAATCTTATTGTACATTAACGTTGTAATTTTATCTTCTCAAACTGAAGAGAAAAATGAACATGTGTGCTCACAATTATATATAGATTATTTCAACTGGACCACACCTAGTGATTTTTTTTTAGGGGCCTTCACATAAAAATTGAGGGGTCTCCTCCTAACATCCTTTTTACTGAGTATGAGTTTATTTCATACAACACAATATCGTTAAATAATGACTCTACTACGGCAGACATTCGGACACGTATCAATATCCAATCCCATCATTTCGAAATTATAAGACAACAAACAGCAATATCCAATCCCATCATTTAAAAGTTATAATTATCTTATAATGACTGGAACTCTCACCACACTCTCTTGCTCAAATTCCTTCACGAAAAAGAAGAGAAACATAAAAGTCATGAACGTAGCTAGCGAAACATCTAAAACGTAAAAATCCTATTTCTATTTTTTCCCCCATTGAGTCAATGGAGCTAGGGGTGTAAACGAACCGAACACGAACGAACAGTGCTCATGTTCGTGTTTGGTTCGTTTGAAATATAGTCTGTTTGAAATAGGCTCGTGTTCGAAATTGTTCGTGAAGAGTCTGTTCGTGTTCGGTTCGTTTTTGTTCGAATTGTTCGAATTGTTCGAATTCGTAATGTTCGAAATGTTCGAAATGTTCGAAATTCTCATACCACTTCATTCTTATGTACTTACAATTTTACATGTCCAACACCAAAATTTTATATTTTAAATGGATTGTTTTCCCATATAGATCAACTTTTTAAAAGAAATAAAATAGATGAATTAGAATTATTAAGCAAACCAAACACTTATTAATTCGAGACAATGGAGGGATTTATACATGCACTCTTATTCCTACATTATATAGAGTTTATTTCCATAATTCCAAAAAATCAAAATGGATAAAACTTTAATTATTGCTCTCAGGTCCGATCTTAATACAACAATTCTATAATTAATCATCACATATATCGGAGAACTGCACTTTCTGATGGTGACGTTTTTGAACACCTATCATGCCACCAGGAATAGGTCCACGCCGTGTAT